AAATCGTGATCTTCAATTCAAATTTAAATCAGCCCTATTTTTATGGAAAATATTTGACATTTGAATTGCAAACCTTCTCTTAATCGCGACAGAAAAAAGAACAAAACACTGAACATATACTACAGAAAAAAAAAAGAGAAGAATCGGAGTTCTTGCAATCGAATAAGTTCACCGAAGATATAATACAGAAAATCGTGACTTCACGATTCAAATACATCGAGGTATATTTACGTAATTTTGTCGGATATTTGAAAACCACAAAATTTTGAGATTTTTTTTTGGGAATTATTACCTGACATACACCAAAAATATACTTCAAATATTTTAAAATGTGTAGCAGGTGCAGAAAGCCAGTGACAAAGTGTATAGCATAGAAAGAGGAAAAGATACCTCGGATAGAGAGAAAAGTTAACTCGGATATACCCAACATATAACAAGATAACCAGAGAAAAGTTACCTCGGATATACTCGGATATACCCAACATATAACCTAACATATTACAGAAATTGTAAAAGTTATCTCGGATATACCCAACATATAACCAGATATATGAATTCACCAACTTGCGATACTTGAGCGCGTAGAACATCTCGAAATACCGTCTTATCTCCAGACCTTCGAAACATACACATGTACTTGGTACCGGTCGGTTTCAGATCGACAATTTGCACAACGAACTCCGACAAATTTGAAGAAGAATTCGGACATGGGTTGGCCAGAATAATCGCCCGATTCCTCCCTCCTCAACTCCGCGCCTCCACGACCTCCATCTCCGATCGCTATCCGATGGGCTGCGACCTTCGACGGGCCCCGACCTCCGATGGCTGCGACCTTCGCAAGCCAACCGCCGACCACCCCGTTACCGGAAGCCCTACGCGGGTGCGGGAAGAAGAAATTAAAATTTGAGATTTGATTGTTATGAGATTTTTGGGGTTCTGCTAATTGTAGAAGAAAGAAATTTGGGGATTGTTAAAGGAGAAACAGAAGTGACGACGGAGAATAAAAACGAAGAGGGCTTGGAGTGTATTTTGAATTCTAGGTATAATTAAAAATATTTGTAACTTTTAGATAATTTTAAAAATAAATTTATAAGGGGTAGAAAAGTGTAATATAATTGAATTGTGTTAGTATGGGGTGCAATTTCCTCAAACTTAAATCACTAAACTTTAGAATTACTTCTAAAATTGATTTCAAAAATAAAATCTTTAATATGATGAATTATTGATGAATGTTGTTTTTTTAAAGCATATAAAAATTAAAATATGACTAAGTAGTTATTACAAAAAAATTCTAAAGAAATAAGAGATCTCCGAAGATCCGAACCATACCATACCGAACTGTACCGTCCCAATAGTCCTGAATACCGAACCGAACTGAACCGAAAAATAAAAATCATCGAACCGAAGATGAACCGGACCGACTTTTTGGTACGGTTCCGGAGATCAAATTTTGGGATCTCCGAACTTTGGTACGGTGCCGGAGATTTATCAATCTCCGAACCGTACCGACCCACGCTCACCCTTAGTAATGGAGGGTGGCAAGGTAGCAAAATCCAAATTTATTCGTGTTATGGGGTAGATATATATAAGCTATCCGTTATTATTTTTGCTATCCGTTATTATTTTTATTTTCCTCGAAAATTGACTATATTAGAAGGACAAGATTTGGGGCAACAAATCGTGCTATCGTGTTGTGTTCGTGTTTGTATTGTGTATTGTTGTGTTTCTGTATGGTGTTGTGTATTATCTACTTTTATTTAATCATGAAGTGGTAAGTACAAAATTGACTATTTTTTATTTTTATTTTATGTTATTCATATGATATATCAAATTAATATTTTTTGTTAGTTTTTGTTTTGACATCCATACTCAATTTTTATAATAAATCCTTTAAGCGTGTGTCACTATTAATAAAAATATTAGTGTTGTTTAAGATCAATTTAATTAGTATTCGAAATAAAGTATTATAGGTTATTTATATGTATATAAACATTATAATTATAAGTTAGACAATGATATTAAATTTTAAATATAGAGTACTATAAGTTATATTTATGCATATAATATTAACATTATAATAATGGTCTTATGTTTTAAAATTTGATCATTGGGTAAAATAAATAGTACGTAACTATTTGATTGTATATGAATCATTATATTGATTCCATAAAATGTAATAAATAATGTAATATTTGTAACTTTCAGATATTATGACCAGTTAACTTGTTGAAAAATATTAAATTTATTATAACAGTTGCTTATGCGATTTTAAGAAATTTTACTATGACATTAAAATATATTAATTAATTAAAAAACAATCGCTTAATCAGATATAAATTATAATACTGATTCTAGAATACATAACTTGAACAAAATGTTTTACAATATAATTTTTTATATTTATGTAACTTTCATATATCATTTAGTGTAAAATATAATTATTTAATTCTAATAATATCTATTATACGATACAATAAAAAAATATAATTATTATTCAAGTAATATAAAATATAATGATTTGTGTCTTAATTAACAGAATCATTTTTTAAAAAAAATTAGAGTGCCACGTATATATAAATTATGAGATTTTATTTAATGGATTGCATTGTAACAATTACAAGAATTTAAGTATATATTAATTACAATAAAATAAAAACGTTAAATGATATATGAAAGTTAAAAAAACGCTAACTTTATGTGTTAAAAAGCGCTATTTTTAACACATATGGGGCACTGAGTTGTGGGGCATATTTCAGGGTCTTTTGTTGGCATGGGAGTTGAGTTACCGGAAAGTGGTGGCTGAGGTTGATAGCTTGTGCGTGAAACATATGGTTTGCGACTCTGAAGGCGAATTGGGGCCCCATGACACACTAGTTCGAGCTATCCGAGATTTGATTCACATGGATTGGAGTGTTTGCATCCAACATATATACATGGAAGCTAACTTTGCGGCTGATCACTTGACGAGCTTGGCGGAATCGTATTCAATTGGCTTACATCGATTGACATCCCCACCGGTGTGGCTAGACTCTTGGCTTGATCATGATAATATCGGGATGTCATATCCCCGTCGAGTACTAGCTTAGTGTCTCGGCTTCTTTTCTTGCACCAAAAAAAAAAAAGGCTATTTTTATGTATTAAAATAATTTAAGTACAATTTTTTTAGTATATCAAAAGTTTTGTATTACACGGTGCTCTGACGTATTAGTAGTATGCAAAAAATAATATTTTTTAAAATGAATTTAAGAACTAATCCTAATTATGTTTCGAGTTTTACTTTCGTGTACTCCACTGGTGTCTGATATGGCCCAACCCATTGTGGACTTATAACGATTGAGAGAAAATACTTGGGCTCTGGCCCAATAAAATAGTTTCATGTATGAGCCGATCAAGGCCGTATCTGGATTTCGCCATACCTAATTCACCTCTGAGATTCTGTTTTCGCGAGCTGCTCACCGATCGAGAGGTTCTTTTGACATGACCACTGTAATAGCGGCGACGAAGGAGGAGCGACGGCGGATCAAGAGGCGGAAAAGGGTCGGAGGCAACCTCAAAGCCAAGAGAAAGGCCAAGGCCGCCGCCGCCGCCGCCGCCGCTGCCTCTACAGACAGTGGACATTCTCCTGCCGAGACCGCGGCGGCTACAGACAGTGGGCATTCTCCTGCCGAGTCCACTGTAATTACGACGACGAAGGAGGAGCGGCGGCGGATCAAGAGGCGGAAAAGGGTCGGAGGCAACCTCAAAGCTAAGATAAAGGCCGAGGCCGCCGCCTCCGCCTCCGCCGCTACAGACAGTGGACATTCTCCTGCCGAGACCACTGTAATTACGGCTATTACGGAGGAGAAGAAGCGGAGCAGGAAGCGCAAAAGAGTCGGCCATCGACGCGGAGGAAAAAAAACGGACGAGGCCGCCACCGCTCCTACAGATAGCGGGCATTCTCCTGCCGTCTCTCCTGCTTCAGTACCTTCTAATGTCGTGAAGGGTTGCTCAAAATCTTCTTCAATTGCCTCTCCTGCTTCCGTACCTTCTAATGTTGTGCAGGGCGGCTCAAAATCTTCTTCACCTGCCTCTCCTGCTTCCGTACCTTCTAATGTTGTGCAGGGCGGCCCAAAATCTTCTTCATTTTTTCTCGACAAGGTAGAGAGAATGATTTCGGTAACTTTTCGGAAGTGTATGGTGATTTTGTGTAATTATTTCTGGTTTTGTGTAATTACTTCTGGTTTGTTCATCTTAGTGTATTGTTTGGCAGATGAAAGCGAGGTTATCGGGAGGTCATTTCCGCATGATTAATGAGAAGCTGTATACTTGCACGTATGTTGTTTCATTCTTCTTTCGTTTTGTTTCTTTTTCCTCACGCACTCGCATGTGTGTGTGTGTGTGTGTGTGATCCTCGCCGGTAGAGAGTAATTTGCCCTATATTCTTGTTCTATATTTTACTTGTAACTATTATCTGAGTTGGAACTGTGAAAAAATTGGTTCTGAATACCTTAATTAGTACTTTTGAATGTGCTTTAGCAGTAAGATATGAAGTGGGTTTTCTTACTTTGTCTATCTACTTTTCATTGAGAACAGTGGGGATGAAGCACTCAACTACTTTAAAGAGGACCCAGCGTTGTTCCATGTGGTGAGTTTATTTTGTGTGCATAAGTCTCTGCATACTAATTTCATTGTGGCTAGCTGCAAGAGTAAATCCTTGAGTTTTACACTATTGAGTTAGATCATTGTTCTCTGCATAGTTAATGAATCCAATAAGTGTCACCGAGTGTGTACTGTCCTATTTCTTCTTATCTTGAATGGTAAGGTTTCAACAGCTGATTTGGAGAACATAGATATTTCTTCCTCCAATAAGATTAAGATTTGAGAGATTAGGCTTCAGATGAATATCATGATAGCTGATTGATTTCTCAAAATCAGGTATAATAATAATATTATATTATTAAACTATATTTTATCCCCTTTTCTCATTTTATCCATTTTTATTCCATTGTCTCACCCTCTCCCAATCCCACCCAAATATCTGGAATAAATGTTGTTTGAGATTTGAGGTACCGATGCAAAACCAGATAGCATATTTTGAAACTCATTGTGATTAATCTTACACATCTTGCATTTTGATCCTCCACAATGTAACTTAATATTTTCATTTACCTCAACAGTATCATTCAGGGTACCAAGAGCAAATGTCGCATTGGCCTGAGCAGCCTAATGATACTATTATAAAGTGGATAAACAATCACAGTCCTTCTCTTGTTATTGCCGATTTTGGTTGCGGTAAAGAATCTTCATCTATTACATTACAAAAATAAAGATTCTCATTTGTTCCCATTGCTTTTACTAGTCTGTGTTTGCAAAAATCATTCAGGGGATGCACGCCTCTCAAGAAGTGTGAAGAATAAAGTTTATTCCTTTGATCTCATTTCATACGACCCTTCAGTCATTGCTTGTGATATGTCCAAGGTGTGTGCACCGTTCTTATATTTCCTCGTTGACTTTTGTTAGCAGAAGTAAAACAAGTTGCTAATGATATGGATACACATCTTCTCCTATTGTTAATAATGCAAATGCATTTTTTTTATACGCCCCTTTGTGAGTGAGTATATGGTGCCTTTGTCCTTGTTTACTTTAACTTTTTTGAGAATCATGACGTGTAGACACCCCTCGAAGATTCTTCTGTGGATGTTGCCGTATTTTGTCTCTCGTTAATGGGAACAAATTTCCCTAGTTATATTCATGAAGCAAATAGGGTCCTTAAGAATCGGTAAGTACTCATAATTTGACAATTTGGTATCTTTTAAATCTTAAACAATGAAAGTTTGGTTCGAATGCTTTTATTTCATTGTAATCCTTTTTTTTTTTTTAATGTACTGTTCGTTTGCAGTGGGTGGCTTTTAATAGCCGAAGTGAAAAGCAGATTTGATCCAAGTACAGGAGGAGCAGACCCATACAAGTTTATAAAAGCAATATCCCAACTTGGATTTGCCTCTGTGTCTGAGGTATTCATTAAGTTTCGTCTCCATTTACTTTGTAATGCAAATTAACACACAACTCATGGTTCTAACTAAAAATCTACATATTATTTGCAGGATTTTTCCAATAAAATGTTCATACTGTTCTACTTCAAGAAGAAGAAGGTTTTGATGCTTTTGTTGATTTACCGGAAATCTTTCATCTCGAAATAATGCGTGATTTCTGCCCCAAATATATATATATTTTTTTTCTGAACTTCTTTGTTTTATTGTGCAGGAGAAACAAAAACCGAAAGATATCGAGTGGCCAGAACTGAAACCTTGCTTGTACAAACGCCGTTAATCTTGTTTTGCTCATAGTTAATCAGATTTTCGCGGCGGGTATGTATGCCTGGAGATAGGTTTTTGGGCATAATTGCAGCTTGATATTCGAACTTTTTTTGCTGGCATCGATTCCTATGCTTGTGATGGTAGTAATTTGAACTTTTTATGGATGTTTGTTACATTTTTATTCACTCCAGAGTTCTTATATCCTTGAAAACATTATATTCAGTGAGTTGGTTGAAAAACATTATAGTTGGAATTTCTGGAGGCAACAGAATCAGTCAAACCAAAATATTTCAGGCATTACCCTCACAGAATTCATCCCGATGCTGCTAAATTTACTTGTGCATAAAGAAGAGAAAGTCATAAATAGGCAGTCAGATTTTTTTTTTTTTTCTTCACTTCATTTTCTCGTTCACTTTCTATCCTCTGATTGTTTGTATGCATACCCTTTTGACCGATTGTACTTTCTTAACCGTTGGATCTATACACGTCCATGATCCTACGGTTTGGATAGGTCAAACCTTCCCATTCTCACCTTTTACATTAACATATATGTAAATCTTTGAAGTCTTAGAAAACTTCCCTTTAGTATTTTTCATGAATTCACCAACCAAAATCATTTCTATCTATTCCAATCTTATGAATACTTCAAAATTACTTCCCATTAGTCTTTTTTCTTGACTTAATTTTTTATCTTCTCTTTAACAAACAAATAGATCAAAGCATTAAAATCCATATTTTATTTCATCCAAGAACTCCAAATTCTCCGATTGGTTGCAATTGTTCTCACCTGAACGAGTACGAATATTTGTACTACCATGTCCTTGCATCATTGATAAATATACCTTATGCTCTCATTAAAGCTCTAGGCTGAGTTGCTCCACCATGTACATTACATTTCGAATGGAGCCCGACCGATTGATTGTACGGTCTACTGTGTTATGATCTCTTATCAACTATAAGAAACAACACTATATAAACTATAAGAGAAATTGAAATAATATGTGTAAAATTTTTTAGGGGGCTTCCTCAAATTTTCATTGATAAATCCATCGCAAAAATCTGAAAAAAGGAACTCCACATCGTTCCTTCCTGTAGTATGAATCAGTATGCATAATAACATATATGTGCCTCGGGAAAGTCCTGAAAGTCCTAGGGCAGAATAGGAAAGTCCTAGGGAAGAATATTAGAACTTCAGAAAAAGCCTATCTTTCCTTCGTAGCAGTATCGTCCTGGCTATGGCGACGCTTCTAATCTTAAGGAGAACTGAGCTGTAATTCTTAACTATGCCCGTCTATTTTGTCATGCTGATCGAGTTCCACCCGATTAGACAAGATTTACTGTACACTTCGTCAGACTGATCGAGTGCTGCACGATTAGACGAAAGTGTTAACCGTATCAGGCTGATCAGGCTTGCCCGATTAAATAGGGTCCGTTGTATGCTTCGTCAGACTGATCGGATTTACCCGATTAGACGCGCATGTCTACTTTGTCAGGCTGATCGGGCTGGCCCGATTAGATAAGGTTTGTTGTACGCTTCGTCAGGCTGATCGGGCTTACCCGATTAGACGAACATGTTTGTCTTGTCAGGCTGATCGAATTCGTACGATTACACAAGGTCTGTTGTATGCTTTGTCAGGTTGATCGGATTTACTAGATTAGACAAGCATGTCTACTTTTTCAGGCTGATCGGATTCGTCCGATTAGACAAGATTTGTTGTATGCTTCGTCAAGCTGATCGGATTTACCCGATTAAAAAAGATCTTTTTTTTTTCAAGCTTTTTTTAATGTCTTGTAATAGTAAAAGGCTGAGGAAAGAAACTATCCAAATTTGCAAAATAGACACAATAATAATCCCACGCATTCGTGAAACACAGAAAATTCCTTGAATATTGATTCACTATATTTGAATCCTTTAACCAATTTTTTGCCCTCAAGTGGAGTAAGGTTACGAGTTATTTGAGAGCTCGTATCTACTCTTCTAGCATATTAGTTTGTTTGGTTAACGAGTCAATTTATACTCAGCTCATCAAACTCGAGCTCAACTCAACTCGTTAAAGGCTCAAGTCCAAGTTCTAATACCAAGAGCTTGAATTTTACTCAACTCGATTCGTTTATAGCCTTCGAAAGTTTGAATTTTAGATTGTAATTGGATATGAGATTATCTACACAAAAAATGGTCAATTTGAACTAGATGAGGCCCTTTTAGTAATTAAGAGAAACTATATGGGTGAAAGTGTGATAAACCTAACATGCTAAAACCCCCGACTAGTGACAAACCCCCTTCACGCTCACTGGAACTCGAGAAAAACCTCTGCTTCATCTCTATTTACCAATCAAACACCTCCGCTCAACGGCCTCTATTAATTCGGAGTTTCTGATAAAAAATGTTGTGCTAGAAAAGAGACAAGAGAGATATTATGACGGCCATCTTTTCTGATGATCCGCTCCAAACAAACCAAAATATATATATCAGCTTTAGGTTTAACAATTACCATAAATATACATAAAGCTAATACAGTAAATACAAATATAAGACACAAGAACACCCCCCCTTAAGTTGGAGTATGCGGATTTCGAATGCCCAACTTGCCAAGAAAGAAATCAAATTCACGTTTCCCAAGCGCTTTGGTAAATATGTCAGCCTGTTGCGCCAGAGGGAACATAAGTGGTAGAGATGAGACCCTGCATAAGAGCATCACGAACAAAGTGACAATCCACCTCAAAGTGTTTAGTGCGCTCGTGAAAAACTGGATTAGCAGCAATATGTAGAGCAGATTGACTATCACAATGCAACCGCATAGGCTGAGAATGAGCGACACCAAGACAAGATAGCAATCCCCGTAACCACTTCAACTCGCACAAGGTATTAGCCATCGCTCGATATTCAGCCTCAGCAGAAGAGCGAGCAACAATATGTTGTTTCTTGGTTCGCCAAGAAACAGGAGACTGACCCAGCTGAACAAACCAACCCGAAAGAGATCGTCTCGTGAGGGGACAAGTCGTCCAATCCGAATCACACCACGCATAAAGTTGAAGATCACAATCAGAACGAAGAAGGATCCCCTGACCAGGAGAGCCCTTCAAATATTGAACCACACGCATTGCAGCGTCCCAGTGAGACTGGCGTGGTTGATGCATGAACTGAGCAAGCATATGCACAGAATAGGATAACTCAGGGCGAGTAACTGCTAGATAAATAAGTCGCCCAACCAAACGTCTATAACGCTCAGGATCGGACAATAGAGCACACTCGGCGAGAGGAAGCTGAAAATTTTGCTCCAACGGAAAATCAGCAGGTTTGCTCCCTAACAGTCCGACTTCAGCAATAATGTCAAGTGCATACTTCCGCTGACAAAGCAAGAAGCCAGAAGCATTTCGGGCAACCTCTATACCCAAAAAATACTTAAGCGGCCCAAGACCCTTCATGTGGAAACAACGATTCAAATAACTCTTAAAAGTTGCAATGGAGGTGGTATCATTGCCAGAAATAATCAGATCATCGACATACACCAAAACCTGTAGATGAACAGAACCACGATGCAGGGTAAAAAGAGAGTAATCATGGTAGGACTGACAGAAACCATAGTGTTTGAAGCCGTTGCTAACTTGGCAAACCAACAGTGGAAAAGAGACAAGAGAGATATTATGACGGCCATCTTTTCTGATGATCCTCTCCAAACAAACCAAAATATATATATCAGCTTTAGGTTTAACAATTACCATAAATATACATAAAGCTAATACAGTAAATACAAATATAAGACACAAGAACATGTTGTCTGCCTACGCTCGAAAATTTCTATGGCGATCCATCAGAACCCTCTCCCACATGCTCCTCAATCAAAGGTACTTCCTTTTTCCCTTTTCCTTTTGTGATTTTGTGAGAAAAAACAGTCGATATATGTAGGCTTTGGATTTCAATTTTATTTTGTTTTATTTTATTTTATTCTTAAGGAGCGAGGTGCTAGCTAGAGGCATTACCTCTGCACACAATGTGAATTTGCGAAGTTCTGATGTATGTTCGGGCAAGATGTGGAGTTCGTTCAATGGAGCTCGCTGTTTTTCGGCCAAGAGTATGAGGAGCAAAGTGGAGAAAAGAATGCAAAGGGAAATTCGAAGGGCGAAAAAGCTGAGGAAGAAATTGATGACTGATGAGGAACGCCTCATTTACAATCTTAGAAGGGTATGAACCCTAATAATCTGGATATTTACATTGTTTCTAAATTGTTTGTGTAATTGTTATGCAGAAATCCTTTGGATATCTTTAGTTAACCACTGGTTGGATTGGATTAGTTAAATGTTGCAGCTCAGTCATTTGTTCAGTAGCTGGTTTTCTTTCTTTTGTTTTAGCATGTTTCGTTTATTTTCGCCACTGCATTTCATACTTTTGCTTTCATGTGTTTGTCTATAACAGGCAAAGAAAAATGTGGCTTTACTTCTTCAAAAGCTGAAAAAGTATCAACTGCCCGAGCTCCCATCACCTCGCCATGACCCGGAGCTTTTCACTCCCGAGCAGTTGCAGGCGTACAATAGAACTAATCGAACCCTCGATATTCAAGCAAAGATGGTTGTATTCCTGAGGATGAAGATTTTATTATTTACATTCTCTTCTGGTGTGATATGTTTGAACAATGTTTTTGTATCATGAATGATATGATGAATGCTTTGCCTGTGTGCCATCATTCAGATTCTCATCGTTCAATTTGTCAGAGTTTATGGTTTATAAAACTTCATAAATTTAAAGCACATGCTTATATTTTTGTGTTCTTATGATAGTTTCATTTTTAAAAACAGCCAAGAGAGATGAGTAAAATGATGATAAAAGTTGAAAAGTAAGGCCAAGGAATGGATGCAGCATGTAATTTTTATGATTTTGAATGATCATGAATGATCATGACCAATTAATTAGCTCAAAAAAAAAAAAATACTAAACTATTATTATTATTATTATTATTATTATTATCATCTATACTTATATAAAAGACATTCTATTTACTAGAATTAGTAGTAAGAAAAGTCAAAGGTAATTAATGCATTCTATTTCGATTAAATATTTTATTTAATTATTTTAGTTAATTGTTTTATCTCATAACACATTTTCAATACAACTTACCATGATGTTTCTATTGTGATTAAAAACCAAATTTTACGTTTAAAATCTTGTGAAATTATTATTATTATTTTTATAAAACACATATTATTTGTTAAAAAATTATATATATATATATAATACACATCACAATACCGTGGTAGATGATTTAAATCAACTGACCAAAATGCCAATGATTTAAATTTGAACACACCTATGCGTTTGACCAAATGTCTGGATGATTTAAAATTGAGCCCATAAAAATTATTTAAATTTGAACACACCAGAAATTTTATGTACTTTTTTATTTATAAATATATTGAAAGTTGTATTTAATGGTTGTTATATAAACTATTTTAATATTTGCAATGAATAAAAGTTTGAATGAATAATTTGTAATGTTATTCATAATGTTTGTGACTTATGAGATACGAAGACATAACTCCATACATATTTACCAGAGGGCAGCTTAATAATTTTTTAGACTTAACGTTGATTAAAAGATGTAGAAAATAGATAATAACATTATTACTTTTTAGACTTAAACGGACAATGCTGTGAAAATAACTCATTTAATATCTTTGTCTCGTGCATCGCACGGGGTACGTACTAGTGTGATTTTAACAGGTTTATTATGCCATTAAAATCAATTAGCCAATTTTTAAGAAATATCATTTAATGAGATGAAAAAGCTAACAATGATTTTAGATTAAATAGCTTGAAGATTTTTTATTTTTTTTTTCAATATATTGATTTATAAATAATTAAATACGTAATGTTTATACACAATTTAATACAATTTTTATATATAGTTATAAAATAGTTAAAAGATATGTAATATTACAGTTAATTAATGTAAAATGTAAAATCTTGTTTCCACAATTAACTGAAAAAAGAAAAATTGAAAATTTACTTTATTTGCATTAGTGGAATAGCTACTGCCTACATTAATTGAATTATTTAATTCTAAATATATATAATTAGAGATGCCTTTTAACGTTATAATAATAGCTAGTTCTTGTTTCCTTTTCCTTGTCAAATTATGGCAAGATTATATATCGTCTCCTTTCCCTAATCAAATTACTATGGCAACTCTTTTCCTTATTCGAAGGTAACTTTTGCAGCTGTAATTAATTAATTAATTAATTTAAGCTAATTGCACTCCTAAAATTTTCCTATAAATATAAGTCATCTAATCTAATCGACGCTAAAAATTTCAAACAGCAAAACCTAAAAAAGTAGTTCTTGAAATCAATAAAAGCAAGAAAATCAAAGAATGGGTGATTACCCAATGGGTTTCCGGTTCTCCCCCACCGACGAGGAGTGCATCAGATATCTCCTGGGGTTCGTCACGGGGAATCCCCTGCCCTCCCACGACCACATATCCACCGCCGACCTTTACGGCGACTCCGAGCCGTGGGACCTTTTCGGAGATTCCGCCGCCGCCGCCGGGTGTCGGTACTTCTTCACGAGGCTGAAGCGGGTCGGCGGCGGGGCGACGTCGGCGGGCAGGCGGTTCTCGAGGAACGTCGGGCAGGGGACTTGGTCCAACAAGGGCCAGAAATCGGACGTTTTCTGCGGGAAGGGCGGGTTGATCGGGCACACGAGAAGCTTCCGGTACGAACCAAGGAAGTCGCCGGCGAAGGGTCCGGCGAGGGGCCGGTGGGCGTTGAAGGAGTACGCGCTGGCGGAGGATCCGGTGATGGAGGGCCGTGTGGTGATGGCGGACTACGTGCTCTGCCTCCTCAAGAAGAAGAAGAAGAACTTTGATGACGTGGATGATGACGGGGACGATGAGGGGACTTCGGGCGGGTTTCTGCCCGACTCGCGGGTCGGAGGGGATTCAGGCAAGCGGACGGGCAGTCAGGCAGTGGAAGGAGAGAGGAACGAGGAAATTGGGCAGTCCGGACTAATGACGAATCGGGAGGTTACGATCGCTGACCGGTCGCACGAAAACGGGCACTACTGCCCGTCGAGGGTGCATTGATCCGGCAGGTCGGGTTTTTTCGACTTTTGGGTCGGGTTCGGATTTTGGAAGATTCAATTTCTTCATTTGTTTGGGTTTTTGTTTCGTGTTTTTTTTTTTTTTTTTTTTTTTTT